CGCCGCCGCCCTGGGCCGAGACCACCTGGATCTACCACGACGGCGAGGACACCAAGATGATCGTGGGCGAGGAGAAGAAGTTCCTGCTGCCCTTCTGGCTGCAGGTCATCTTCATCTCGCTGCTGCTCTGCCTGTCCGGCATGTTCAGCGGCCTCAACCTGGGCCTCATGGCGCTGGACCCCATGGAGCTGCGCATCGTGCAGAACTGCGGCACCGAGAAGGAGCGCAACTACGCCAAGCGCATCGAGCCCGTGCGCCGCCAGGGCAACTACCTGCTGTGCTCGCTGCTGCTGGGCAACGTGCTGGTCAACACCACGCTCACCATCCTGCTGGACGACATCGCGGGCTCCGGCCTGGTGGCCGTGGTGGTCTCCACCATCGGCATCGTCATCTTCGGCGAGATCGTGCCGCAGGCCATCTGCTCGCGCCACGGCCTGGCCGTGGGCGCCAACACCATCTTCCTCACCAAGTTCTTCATGCTGATGACCTTCCCCGCCTCCTACCCGGTCAGCAAGCTGCTGGACTGCGTGCTGGGCCAGGAGATCGGCACCGTCTACAACCGCGAGAAGCTGCTGGAGATGCTGCGCGTCACCGACCCCTACAACGACCTGGTCAAGGAGGAGCTCAACATCATCCAGGGCGCGCTGGAGCTGCGCACCAAGACGGTGGAGGACGTGATGACGCCGCTGCGCGACTGCTTCATGATCGCCGGCGAGGCGGCGCTGGACTTCGGCACCATGTCCGAGATCATGGAGAGCGGCTACACGCGCATCCCGGTGTTCGAGGGCGAGCGCGCCAACATCGTGGACCTGCTCTTCGTCAAGGACCTGGCCTTCGTGGACCCCGACGACTGCACGCCGCTCAAGACCATCACGCGCTTCTACAACCACCCGCTGCACTTCGTCTTCAACGACACCAAGCTGGACGCCATGCTGGAGGAGTTCAAGAAAGGTGAGCGCGGTCTCCCGCCTGCCCGGCCCTCCGCCGTCCGGGCGCCAGCCCGGGAGACGCAGCCTTCCCTGAGCGCAGCTTCTGGTGGGCGCTTGGGGTCAGTCTGGGCTCCAGCGCAATCTCCATCCTCCTCCCGGGCCCGTCCTCTGCCCCTCCTGGCTACCCTGGGAGAGACCTCAGCCTTCCCTGACGCAACTTCTGCTGAGCGCTCTGGTGTCCTTCTGGCTCCAGCGCAATCTCCAGCCTCCTCCCTGCCCTGCTCCCCGCCGTGGCCCCCCAGGGCGAGTTGACCGCAATTTCTCCTTCTCTCTTAATTGCCAAGCCGAAAGGGCGGCGTGGATCTGGGGACTGATTGAACTGGCTAGCGCTTCTAGGTTCTCAAAAGGTGCCTGGCTGCAGTTGCTGGCTTTCCTGCCACCAGAAGGCAGACCCCTTCCTTTCTGTGTCTCCCCCCGCCTCTGGATTTGGGGCAAGCAGGCGAAAGCGGGGGGGCCTGACCAAGCCCGGCGTCACAGGTGTTTGGGAAACGTCTTAAATAGCTTTTCTTTTGTTTGTTTGGCTTTTTTTGAGTTGGAGTCTCACTCTGCCGCCCAGACCGGAGGGCAGTGGCCGCTCCCGGCCACCGCAGCCTCGACCTGCTGGGCTCCGGCGATCCTTCTGCCTCAGCCTTCCCAGTAGCTGGAACTACAGGCACACGCTACCACGCCCGGCTGATTTTTTGATTTACTGTAGAGACGAGGTCTCGCCAAGTTGCCCAGGCGGGTCTCGAACCCGCGGGCTCAGGCAATCCACTCACCTCAGCCTCCCAAAGGCGTGGGATGACAGGCTGAGCCACCGAGCCCAGCCTTAAATAGCTTTTCTAAACCCTGCACAGCCCTCTCCCGCCTCCCTGAACATCCACACTGATGTTGCAGGAAGTACCTTTTTGGTATAGCTTCTGTTCCTGGGGAAGGGCTGGTGTCTGCTTCTGGGGTAGGGGCTCATTTTGGTTGTGACTTACTTGCCTTCGCTGGAAAAGAGGGGTGTGTGTGTTTAAAAACTGAAGTTAGTTGTGAATATGAAACGTGGAAAGACAGGCATGTTAACCTTTTCTGAGGCTGTGCCCCCTGCAGCTTTCTTCATTGCTTGCTTACATTTATCTGACGACGTGGAGCATTTCCCAAACTGGAGCATTTCCCAAACCGTGTGGTTCTTGCAGAAGCTTGAACCTTGAACAGTGGGATGAACCCCTCCATCTCTTGTTTACACTTGGCTCTTTCCGTTTGAAAGTTCTTTTTTAACCCCGTCACCTGGCACGTCAGAGAGACACGTGTCTCCCAGTCAGTGGTTGGGAGAGAAGTGAGTGTGGAGTCACCCTGCTTGTTCCTCATGTCCTACGTCGTGGCTTGACCACATGATGAGCAGGTAATTGGCAGCTCCAGGGCCGCAATTGAGGTTCTGAGCGTGTCCGTCAACAGCTGGTGTTACTTGAACGAGCGATGCTGAGTCTCTTAATTGCTATGCGTGTGGCCTTTCGTGACCTGGTAGTCCTTGGCACTGTTTCCCTCTTCAGGCAGCATTTTTGGTCACTGATAGAAGAGGCCACCTGTGCCGGCACAGTGGGTCAGGCCTGTCATCCCAGCACCTTGGGAGGCCAAGGCGAGAGGACTGCCTGAGCCTGCAGGTTCGAGACCAGCCTGGGCAACATGGTGAGACCTTGTCTCTACAACAAATCCCAAAAAAGAAAAAAAATTAGCCAGGCGTGGTAACGTATGCCTGTAGTTCTGGCTACTTGGAAGGCTGAGGTGGAAGGATCGCCAGAGCCTGGCAAGTCGATGCTGGGGTGGCCATGAGCGTGCCACTGCACCCCAGCCTGGGCTATGGAGTGAGACTCCGACTCAAAAAAAAAACATAAAAGAAGAGACCATGTGTACCTGGTGCCAGTGTGCTGATGCGATGCCCGGAGCATACTCCAAGGGTGTGTGGTTGTCCTGTTTCCTGGCTTCTGATGATGGTGCCCTCTAGAACAGGGTCACATTGCAGCACTTTTCTTGTAGAGGAATAGAGCAGAACGTGCTTTGCAGAGTGGCAGTTGGCATGTAAGAGCAGACGGAAGTTCTTCTAGATTCTTACGGAGTAGAGAGAAGATGTCCAGTGTCTCTGGTGACTACTTCTTAGGGGGTGTTGTGCTGTCACTAAGTTGTTCATTAGGGCACTGGGCAGTCTCTCTTTTGGCTCTGCGGTGATATCTGTAGCGAGAGGTATTCAGGTGCTTGGAAGTGCCTCTGAGAGTCTTCTGGTCGCCAAGTTTCCCAATGTCGGCGCAGATGATTCATTCGGTGGTTTTTCCATTGTCAGAACTCTCGCACATCTCCCAGTGAATCGATAGCCCTCGCCTGTGGGTCCTGCTGAAATCTTTTCTTCACGCCGTGCAGCTTTTCTCTGAGAATTGAGTTACTCTGCCTCACAGCTCACCGATCCGTGCCCTGCGCAACAGTTCGGAGTTTGCATTATTTTGAAATTGGCTCGGGTTGCCCTTGAACGGTGTCCCTGTGACTGAGAACATTTCCATGAGGACCTTTCTTTCCTCTAACATCACCTCTCACGGTGTTTTCTGGAAGTCCGTTCTTCAAGTGAGTGACTCGCTGATATTTTCCCATGAGCTCTCAAAAAACATCAGCGCACAGAGCTTTCTCCTGCCGTCAACCGGCACGCTGCGTCTGGCCAGGAAGACAGCGGCGGTCCCGGGTACCCCTTCGGGCCGGTGGCGCCGGAAGAGCCGCCGAGGCGTTGGCGGCAGCGAGGAGTCCAGACCCCCGTCTCACTAGGATGGAGTGGGTGTGTGTTACTTCGCCCTTAGGGAGACTTGGCTTTTCATCTTCCTTTTCCTGAGGTTTTTTTGAGGGGTTTGGTCACTTTGACCTCACTGCCGCTTATACTAGTTCTTTTTTGTGTATGAGTTAAAACATTTCACCTGATTTTTTTCTTCTTCATTTTCTAATGCAGTTATGACATAATGCTAACAGCCAACCTTCTGTTGTTTTTCTCTGTTGAATGATGGTGTGTTGGATGATTTGAAGACTTCTTCTTCCTCCCTTTCCAGAAAACAGAAACGAAAAACAAGGACTCACCACAGCACCAACTGTAACTCCCCTAAACTGGTTTGATTGCCAGTCCGGATCTCACTGAAAATTGCCCTTCCTGATTAAGAACATCTATACTAAAGCCTTTCTTGTGTGTGACTGGACAGAGCTAGAGTGAGGTGCTCTTTGTTGGGGGTGTGGAAGCAGAAGGGTCTGTGATGGGGGGAGAAACGCTGCCTTCATGTTAGTGTGTGCGATTCTGGTGGTGTTGGCCTCCTGCTCCCCCCTCCCCCGCCCTCTCCCCCTTCTCCCTTCCCCCCCTTTAAGAAACAGGGTGTCCTTACACTGTCAAGCTGGATTCAAATGATGAATGTCTTCTTTCTAATGATCAGAACTTTTTTGTCTGGCTACCGGGAAACTCTTAGCTTTCCTTGAGGCCGGAAGGTAGGACTTGCACCCAGTTCACAGTTTGATCATGACAATGGTGATGGTCACTTACCCAGTTACTCCTGGTGGGATCCCGGGCTTGGTGCTTTGTTTAAACCTTGCCATGGGTGAGTGACATACGATCTCCAGTTTGCAACGAGGAGATGAAGTCTTGGGTTAAATGACGTGTCCGAGGCCGCACCGTCAGTTGTTGGTTTGGGGTTTTGGCTCAGGTCTGTGTGACGCCGGAGCTGGCTCTCCTGACCCCCCGTGTGACCCCCAGACCCTGGTTTCTGCTCCTCTGAGCTGTCTCTTGCCTCAGCATTGCCTCAGAGCCTGCTGGAAAAGAAATGTGTGAATGTACGTGGCATGAAACCCAGTGCTTCTGTGTGCAAAACAGTTGGTGTCCCCCCCTTTTCTTAAATCCGGGTCTGTCTTACTCTGTCATCTAGGCTGGAGTGCAGTGGCATGGTCATTGCTCACTGTAACCTTGAACTCCTGGGCTCTAACGCTCCACCTCAGCCTCCCAAGTACCTGGGACTCCAGGTGTATGCCACTATGCCTGGCTCACTTTTAAATTTTTTTGTCGAGGCGAGGTCTTGCTATGTTGCCCAGGCTGGTCTGGAACTCCTGGCCTCAAGCGGTCCTCTCACCTCAACCTCCCAAGGTGCTGGGATTACAGGCAGGAGCCACGGCGCCCGGCCACAAGTGCCCTGTTGGCTGTGGAACCAAACCAGATTTGTGCCTGTGATCCTGAGTGCAGGACTCGTTCTGAAAATGACGTGTGTCCTTGTGCTGTGCTGGTGTGCTCCCCGGTGGGCTGCTCTGCCACCGCTGTCACTCTGAGTTTCACTCTGGGTATCTCATTTGCTTCTGCTCAAGGGTTGGGAGTGTTCAGCCTTTTCGGCTTGGCTTGGCTTATGTTGCTTGCCGCTGTCTGGGCGGTCACTGCCGCCTGCAGGCATCCGTCCCCGCGGCCTCTGCGCCCGTTCAGGCAGGCCTTAGCTTGCTCTCTGGTTCGTCTCGTAGCCACTCGAGGGTCTCAGTAAGAGAGTAAGCTCAGTGGCCGCTGCTAGAGGACTGTGAGAATTTTAGAAAGCCGGCCGGGCAGAGCGTGGCGAAGGAGAGGCCATGTGGGCCTCCACGCAGGCACCTGACAGCCGGGGCTGGAAGCCCAAGGCGCTCTCCCTTCCGCCCTGGCCCGCTGCATTCCAGTGTGCAGAGCTTGCTGCTTATGGCTGCGGGCTCACCAGCCTCTTTACCTTTTCTTTTTTTTTTTTTTTGAGTTGGAGTCTCACTCTGTCGCCCAGACAGGAGTGCAGTGGCGATCCTTCCGCCTCAGCCTTCCAAGTAGCTGGAACTACAGGCGTGCACTACCACGCCCAGCTAGTTGTTTTTTTTTTATTGTATTGATGAGGTCTCGCCAAGTTGCCCAGGCAGGTCTCGAACTCGCAGGCTCAGGCAATCCACTCACCTCAGTCTCCCCAAGTGCGGGATTACAGGCTGAGCCAC